GGGTGTGCAGGAGGCGGCTGGTCGATGTTTCTCTCTCATCCACGTTTCTAGCTCTCTCTCTCTCTCCCTTCCTCTCTATAAAAAAAATCAATAAAATATATTTTTTAAATAAATAAATAATAAAATAAAATAAAAACTGAGTTCAATGGATCCTGATCACGTAATGAGGATTAAAGTTTCCAGTTTTAGTTTTAGTTCTACCTAAATATATCCATGGTCCAAATGAAGATAAGGACTCAAGACCAGAAAGAAACTTCAAACAGTACAACCTCTTAAAAGTTTGTTGTTTATGACTACCACAAAAAAAAAAAAAAAAATTTAAAGTTTGATATAACTGTCAGGACAGAAACTGCATTCACACACACATGGCTTTTTTGTTTACCTAAAAACAATCAGGATCACATTACATGCATAATAACAGCTCTGATCTTGAGTCCTTCCATTTAACAGATTGTGAGTCTCCTTTCATGCCTATGTATACAGATTTACCACACTCTGGTTCTCCCTTTGATAAGTGTATACATATAGCCATTTTCTTACTAATGGAAATGGCTAACCCCATTTAGGCTAGGTCCTGTTTTTCCCTATTACTGATACTATAGCTGTGACCATTTTACCCCTAACAGCTTAGACACTTAAATCCTTTATTAGCACAAGTCTTAGATTTAAAATAAAAATGCTTTCCCAATCTTTGCATGATGGGCTGCTCCCTTGGCTGGGAAGGTACTTCCTTGCCCTGCACTTTTGCTCATCCTTAGTTCAGTTTTAATGACTTCCTCAGAGAGAACTCTGAATATTCCACCATTACTCCACCCTAAACAAGACATTTTATGCTTTCAATACATACTGTTTTACCATTCTAGCACTCACTGCACTTTTTGATACTAATATTAAGGTCTGTCAACTCCATTCAACTCAATTCCACAGGAGGGTCCCAGCACAAAGCCTGTTATCAAGGTACCAGACTATCCCAGCCTTGTAGACAGAAACTACTGCCTTTAGTGGCTATGTTCTAGAGAAGATAAACTGATTCAACACACAATCACATGTTCCAAAACTTTCAGCAGCACAAAGGACAATTTGTTTAAAATGACAACTTCCAATGCTGGTAGGCTGTGGGCAAATAGGCTGCTCACACCCTATTGGGAGAGGACTAAAATGGTATCATGTTTCTGGTGGGGATCCTAGTCAAATACATGACCAGAAATTCCACTTGTAGGACTGTGGCTCACAAAAATAGCCACAGACATACACCAAGATTTAACTACAACAATGTTCTAGACGACGTATTTTGTAACAGGAAAAAACTGCAAATAACCTAAATAACCATGCATCTGTTGAAAAAAAATAAACTGGTATATGTACACAATAGAACTATTAAAAGGTGCTTAGAGATTTGGTTTTGCTCAGTGGTAAGATCATCAGCCCACATACCAAAGGGCTGCAGGTTTTATTCCTGGTCTAGGGCACAGTCAAGGGCACATACCTGGGTTGCAGCTTCACTTCCCCACTCCTGGTTAGGGCAAGTGCAAGAGGCAACCAGTTGATGTCTGTCTGTCTGTCTGTCTGTCTCTCTCTCTCTCTCTTTCCCCCTCTCTTCTTTCCTCCCTCCCTCACTATCTGAAAAGCAATGGAAAAAATGTCCTCAGGTGTAGGTTTCAAAATAAATGAGGATTTTTTTTAAAGGTGTTTAGTAAATAATAAATAAATAAATAAATAAATAAATAAATAAATAAATGTGTTTAGATACACATTGAAACTGAGTCCTCCATGGAATTAAGTGGCATGATATTCATAAGCACATCAGTGAAAAAAGGTGGTTATTATACAATATCATCCCTATTTGAATATGGTTTATTGATTTCAGAGAGAGGGAGAGAGGGAAAGATAGAAACATCAATGAGAGATAGAATCATCGATCAGCTGCCTCCTGCACGCCTCCTCCCGTAACCCAGGCATGTGCCCTGACCTGGAATTGAACTGTGACCTCCTGGATCATGGGCTCAATCTTGGTGTAACATCAGCCAGCACATCATGCCATTTTTGGAAAATTGGCAAGTAATATAGTGTATATATTTACTTATATATACACTGACATCACCAATATGTTTATGATTATCTACAAGTGGTAAATTTATAAGTCATTTGTTTTCTTCTTTTTTTTAATGTATTTTATTGATTTTTTACAGAGAGGAAGAGAGAGGGATAGAGAGTTAGAAACACTGACGAGAGAGAATCATCGACCAGCTGCCTGTTGCACACCCCCTACTAGGGATGTGCCCGCAACCAAGGTACATGCCCTTGACCGGAATCGAACCTGGGACCTTTGAGTCCGCAGGCTGACGCTCTATCCACTGAGCCAAACCGGTCTCAGCTGATTTTCTATTTTTGAATTAAAGAATGTATATAGTTCATATGCAATACTTATTTTTTAAAAATTCAAGTTTTCTTTTGAAAATATCTCTTTACCCCCCACTACCCATCTACCAGGGAACCTGGTAAATCAGGGGCAGCTTGTTTAGGTGGTAGGCCAAATGTTTCATTTACTACTTCAAAGACAAAGTTTTATCCTTTTTAATTCTCATTTCTAAAGCACTGGTTAAGGCCAGTCTTTAAGCCATTTCTTGAAGGTCGCTGTCTCTACCTCAGCTATACAGAACGAGAGAAGGGGCAAAGAGGAGGAAACAAAGGACACAGTAGATTTGAACCTTACTTTGGCAAAGCTCCTCACAGATAAGAGATGAGCCCAAAAGAGCATGTCTCTACAGCTCTGCCCACAGGCCTGAGCCAAGCACCACTGCTCTAGTAACTGATGGCAGGCACTTTCCCTTTCTGACAATAAACTGAGTACTTCCAAGAGGGAAATGGCCTGGAAAACACTGATAATACTTAGGCCTTGTGGTTCCTGAACCCTGACCATACTTTACAATTACTGCAACAGCACATTAAAAAAAGCAAAAGACAAACCTCTGGGTCTCACCCTAGACCTACTGAATTAGAATCATATAGGTTGGGCCAAGGGATTTTGAAAAAAGAAAAATTCCAAGTGATTCTGAAGCAGACAACCCACATAACAGTATTCAGCGATCTTTTAACAACTGCTGGCTAAAAGGAACCAAGAAATACCTGTTCCATCTGACTCCAATTAGATTAGCATCAAAGTCAGGTAAAAAAACGAAAAGTCTCCAACATGACTCAAATTACACTAGCTTTGGTGTTTTACCAAATCTCATCACTGACAAGCTCATCCTCTTAACCTCACCAAATCCTCTTACGAGTTACAGTCCATTCTCTTTTATTTGGTTCCAGTGGACCCTGGAAACAGATCATCTCTGTTAAAACGTGTGATTACCTTGGAAGACAGAGATAAGCTAGAACAAAGCAAAAAGAACTCCTCCTTCCCCTGTGTGGCCCGCCCTGAAGCCACAGAGCTGGGGGGGGGGGGGGGGGGCACGGCACACAGACTGAACACAATGAAGCACAGCAAGCACCCGCGAGGGTCATGCCTATCATCACACATTTAGAACAATGTTCCATGCAAGATCTTTTTCTCTGTGAACCTGTTTCTTGAACAGAAAAAATCTAATGCTTCCCAGGGATATTTTTAGGTGGAATTTCATGCTGTGGTTCAACAACATCATGAAATCTCAATGTTTTCACCCAGTGAGTTTCTTCTGGACCTAGGAAGGTGAGACTCTGCCTTACCAGAGTATTTACTACGGTTCTGACCCCACACAGTGGCATGGAGTTGCTGATTTCTTAAGTCCCATATTCTTATTTAGTCACAAAGAGTTAAAATACTTTCCCTACTGTATTAGTTTTAAAACATGGCCCAAGTTCTCTGATACTCCTCTCATCCAAAAGTAGGGTTCTCAACTCTGTGAAATGTACTAAAAGCCACTGAACTGTAGGCTTAAAATGATTTAAATTGTGAATTTATATTATATGAATTTTACCTGAATTTTTAAAAAAGTATGATTCTTGTCTGGCCAGTGTGAGCGTAAACCTAAGAACCAGGAGGTCACGATTCATAACACATGTGGGCTCAATCCCCCTTCAGGGACATGCAGGTGGTAGCCAGATAAATAATTCTCTCTCATCATTGATGTTTCTAGCTCTCTCCTTCTCCCTTCCTTTTTGAAATCAATAAAAATATATTTTTTAAATTAAAAAACATTTTTTAGGTGTGATTCTCTATCTCCTCCTCTTGACTCTAGAGTCTGTGCCTGCCTGACCTGTAGAATAGGGCAGAAACGATGCTCAACAAACTGGCAATTGTCTCTATTCCGTCTTCTATGATATTCACTCTTGGAACTCAGACACCATACCATGAAGATGTGTAAGCAGTTTTTGCACAGTTAATTAAGAGAGGAGCTGAGTTCTCCAAACGCAAGCCCTCACTTAGTTTCTAGACAACAGCCAGGAATAACTTACCAGCCATGTGAAGGATTCTCCAGCCCCTGCAGAGCTACCTCAGCCAAAGCTATGAGGAACAGATAAACTCTCCCTGCCAAACTCCGCCTAACCTGCAGATTCGTGAGCAAAACAAATGCCCACGGGTGTTTAAGCCACTAAGTTTTAAGATAGTTTGTTATGCAGCAATAGAGAACTGGTACTTGAATATAATAGTGGCTGGTCAAAAATGGCTTCCGAAAATTCTCTAACCTGGTACCGTAAATCACAGTAGATTCTGACAAGCATAATCTTTAGCACCAAAGAATTCATTCATGCATGTTCTTCATAACTTAACTGAGTCACAGTCTTTCTAACATGTTCACCCAAAACTATGCATTTGACTTTCTTGTTAAGAAATATTTTTAAAGAGAGAAAATAGGCAAGAAAGCTACCAGGGCACAAAATCTCTTAAGCCATCAAGCAACAAAAAATATGGACAGCTCTCAATGTATCTTCTTTTAAAAAGCAACTTGAGGTGAATTTTTCATACCACCCTCTTGAACAACCCAAAGCGTCAAGGAGCTTCAACTCTGCTCTCTCCTTACCTCCAGCCTCTCGGGCGGGGGCTCATTCTGCAGGATTCTCAAAGCTTTGGCAGCAGCATCGTGTTTTGCAGCTTGTCTTGTCTTTCCTTTCCCATTAAACTGCTGTCCTCCCACAGAGAGTTCGACTTGATAAAGTAAGGGTGGTACTGGAAATGGGTAAAAGTACCTAAAAATGAAAGGGGGTGAGGAAAATTAGTCTCAGATTGATAAATCACCCATACATTCTCTGGAAAATTGCAGGTACTTTCTTCATTATGGGTCTTAATTGCATTAGTGTTTGCTTGCCAATGAGGACTCCTCATCATATATGCAGGGCAAATTTATTCAGGATTAAAAGTGTCACACATGCCGAAACCGGTTTGGCTCAGTGGATAGAGCATTGGCCTGCGGACTGAAAGGTCCCAGGTTCAATTCCAGTCAAGGGCATGTACCTTGGTTGCGGGCACATCCCCAGTTGGGGGTGTGCAAGAGGCAGCTGATCGATGATTCTCTCTCATCGGTGTTTCTAACTCTATCCCTCTCTCTTCCTCTCTGTAAAAAATAAAATATATATTTTTTAAAAAGTGTCACACAGTATTTACAAAACCTAAAGTGAATAAGCTTCGCTAAATCAGAAAACTGAACTTGCTCTACTTTCTCATATCTGAGAGTCTCACTTGCATGTCTCCACAAAAGGCTGGGAATTTTTTTAACTGAAGTCTTTTCAAAAGGTCCCTCATTTCTGGAAATCCCAAAAGCCTGGAGCCTGGAAGAGGCCAAATTACAAACTTCAGAGTTTATATTTTTAAAATGGTTCTGATTCCCCCACAAGTATGGCAGGGAAATGAAGACTTCCAGTTTTAATAATCTCTTTATCCACTAATGTCTTATGGCATTTTCAGTTTGAATGAGTATTGTACTATTCCTTTAAGCCAAGGCTATTTAAAAAGCACAGAAGTTCAGCCGAAACCGGTTTGGCTCAGCGGATAGAGCGTCGGCCTGCGGACTAAAAGGTCCCAGGTTCGATTCCGGTCATAGGGCATGTAGCATGTACCTTGGTTGGGGGCACATCCCCAGTGGGGGGTGTGCAAGAGGCAGCTAATTGATGATTCTCTCTCATTGATGTTTCTAACTCTCTATCCCTCTCTCTTCCTCTCTGTTAAAAATCAATAAAATATATATTTAAAAAATAATAAAATAAATAAATAAAAAGCACAGAAGTTCAAATGTCAAAAAGTACCCACCAAATAATAATCAGTAATCACTGAATGCTGAGATTCCCAGTATTTCAGGAATCATGATAAAAAGTGACTCAATTTACACAAAGCAGTTACAAGGATGATCTTTAACCAAACTGCGTGGGGCACATGGTGAGGAACATGCTCAGGCCCTTTCCAAAGACAAAAGAGCATCAAGATGCATTCCAAAGATACCAACACAATGAAGACTGACTTCCACACCTGGCAGGCCAAAGATGACCGAATTATCATGTGTCACATACTGTATAGATTTCATTATTCTGTGTGCAAGATCAGATAAATTTTCACCTGTATTAAAAACACATACATACCTGGGGGGATAAGCACCTCCTCTCATGTTGTAGTTATAGGTGGATTGCATCCGAGAATATGGGTCAACAGGCTTATACATTGGTTTTTTTCCAAGTTTCATGCACAGTGCATTTAGCTCTACAGTAGGGGTTATGCTGTCTGCAACACAGAATTAACACAAGGACTTTTTCTTTTTTCTTACATGAGAATGATAGTCATTAAAATAAAAAAGAATAGCATGCTTTCTATTAATTTAATTCATGATACAGTTCATGATAGAGTCTAAGTACTTCACTGGAAGGCATCAGGTCAGGAAATCCAAGAATCTGCTGTGATCTCTAGATATTAATACACAGTTAAAGACACAAAATATACTCTAAGGCCGCAATCGCCAACCTTTCAGACCTCACGGACCACCAATTGTCCATGTACCACTGGATAGCAACTGCTGCTCTAAGGGATATTAGAAGAAGCAACAATTTAACACGTTATCAGTGAAAGCCACATATTCCAGTTGTCACAAATATACTTTCCATGATTAAAAAATCCCAGATGAGCCGAAACCAGTTTGGCTCAGTGGATAGAGAGTCGGCCTACAGACTGAAAGGTCCCGGGTTCAATTCCAGTCAAGGGCATGTACCTTGGTTGCGGGCACATCCCCAATAGGGGGTGTGCAGGAGGCAGCTGATTGATGTTTCTCTCTCATTGATGTTTCTAGCTCTCTCTCTCTCTCTCCCTTCCTCTCTGTAAAAAAATCAATAATATATATATTTTTAAAAATCCCAGATGACCCCAGCTGGTATGGATCAATGGTTAAGCATCAACCTATGTACCAGGAGGCCATGGTTCGATTCCCGATCAAGGTACATGCCTGGGTTTCGGGCTTAATCCCTAGTAGGGGACATGTAGGAGGAAGCCAATCAATGATTCTCTCTCAACATTGATGTTTTTATCCTTCTCTCAGAAATCAATAAAAACGTATTTTAGAAAATCCCATGTAAGCCCTAGTGGGGTGGCTCAGTTGCTTGAAGCATCGTTCTGTATTCCAATAAAGGTTACAGGTTCGATTCCTAGTTGGGGCACATACAGGAGGCAACCGTCCAATATTTCTATGTTCTTCTCTCCCTCTCTCTCCCTCCCTCCACCCTTCCTTTCCCCACCACCACCACCCCCCAACCCCACTCTCTCTTTCAATAAAGCCTGACTGGCATGGCTCAGTGGTTGAGCATCAACCTATGAACCAGTAGGTCACAGTTCAATTCCCAGGGGTTGCGGGCTCGATCCCCAGTGGGGGGCTTGCTGGAGGCAGCCAATAATGATTCTCTCTCACCATTGTTGTTTCTATCCTTCCCTATCCCTTCCTCTCTGAAATCAATTTAAAAAACATATTTTAAAATAAATAAAATCAATAAAAATATCCCTGAGCCCTAGCCAGTGTTCTCAGTGGTTAGAGCATAGGTCTGCACACTGAAGAGTCTTGGTTCAATTCCCAGTCAAGGGTACATACCTGGGTTGCAGGTTTGCTCCATGCCCAGGTAGTTGGGTGTGTGTGGGAGGCAACCAGTCAATATCTATCTATCTCTCTCTCTCCCTCCCTCCCTCCCTCCCTCCCTCATCAATTTCTCTCTTTCTTGCCTTCCCCCCAAACTTCCTTCCTTCCACTCTCTCTGAAAAGCAATGGAAAAAATATCCTTGGGTGAAGATTAACAAAAACAAAACATATCCTCAGGTGAGGGGGAAAAAATCTTAGGTTACTGCCCAAATCATTTTATTGTTTGGGAACACTTAACCAATATAACTTTTATTTTTTTTTAAATATATTTTTATTAATTTCAGAGAGGAAGGGAGAAGGAAAGGGACAGAGAGATAGAAATATCAATGGTGAGAGAGAATCATTGATCGGCTGCCTCCTGCATGCCCCACACTAGGGATCAAGCCAGCAAAACGGGGATGTGCCCTAACAAGGAATTGAAGTCTGACCTCCTGGTTCGTAAGTCGATGCTCAATCACTAAACCAGGCCGGCCAGCCTGATATAACTTTGGTTGTACTGATTTACTGGGTTATTGGCTTATACTACTTAGAAGTATGTTTGTACACACTATTTTATAGAACAATGCATTTATTAAGTACCGTATTTTTCGGACCATAAGACGCACCGGACCATAAGACGCACCAGTTTTTAGAGAAGGGAAATGAAGAAAAAAAGATTCTGAAACAAATAGTGTCCTAAAATATTTTATGTGCATTAAAACCCAACAGCACAGTCATAAACACATGTAATCAACCCTATAAAGTAAACAGCAGCATTTAGAACCATTTTAGAGCCGGGCAAGCACACAGAGACCACACAGAGCCGGGCAAGTAAAAAAAATTTTTTTTTTAAAGTATATGTGTAGGCTATATTTGGACCATAAGACGCAGGGACTTTTTCCCCCCACTTTTGGGGGGAAAAAAGTGCGTCTTATGGTCCGAAAAATACGGTACTAACTGGATGCAAAGGACTGCTAAATTTGAAGGACACATTCTTGCCCCAGAGGAACTCAAAGAAAACAAAATACACTCGAAGAAATACAACACAATGTGTAATAAAGGCAGGTATAGAAACTCTGAGAAGACAAATTCTATTTGATGAAGTTAGATGAGAACAACAGATATTTCCATTCTCACTATTTACAATGAGATTTGGCAAATCAATTATGTGGCTATACTTGTTAGTTGTTTTCACATACAACAGGAGCAAATATATCTTGTGTTACCTCAGAATTATCATCTTTAGAAAATACACACTATTCATTTTCCAATTATTTTCTAAGTTCATCCAATTCATAACTCTTCACACAAAAAAACAACCCACAACAACCCACAACTTGGAAACATTAGTGTCAATGCATAATCACATTTAAAAACTCTTTAATATCAAAATATAATATCAAACACAGAATAACACTAGCAATGGCAAAGTTCAATTTAAATGCACACAAAAAGCCACTTTAAAATGCTTTTTTTGGGTATTATATAGAGGAAAACGAAAACATCCTGATTCTGTACTATAACTGGTCTGATTAAATTTAGTGCTTGAATCAAATTTGTAAGAATATTTCTGGATTTGGAAAATCAGAGGGTCACATAAATAACCAACCTACTTCTACTTAACATCAATCAGAATTACATTTTACTTAATTCATATAATTGCATATTAAATATAACTTGAATCATTTTAAGATCAACTCTGTCCCATTACATTTATCTGCAGAAGAGAATAAATTTAAAGACACAATACACAAAAAAGTCAAAAGCAATGAGAAAAGTGGACTAAAGTCTTCCAGGATCATTCCTGCAAACAAAAGGCACTCTTCTTTATTAGTATTTTTCTCACTTGGTTTCCTTGTTTGAAGAGATATTATCTACTGATTTGTATTTATTTTCTCATTCTTTTTAAAAATCAGGAGACATATAACTGATAATCAGGACTTCTGATCAACATGTTATAATCACTATCAGCACACTGAGTTGAAGTGATTCTAACTAAAATCTTCATTCGTGGCAATCTGTACAAACTTATAAAGGGGGAAAATGTATTTTCATTTAGCTTTTCTGAAATTTTAGTAATTATTTGGTGACACCCCCACCTCCCATGAATGATTCTCCAGACCATCAGGAATGGAGGGACCACTGATTGGGAACCACTGCTTTCGAGTTGGGATAAGCATTTGCCACTGGTAGTGCAGAATCTGTGCTTTCAAAATTCAACAAGAAATAATTCATATAACATACTAAATGGGTACCTCTAGACATACTTTTGAAAGGAACCTGTCTTGGCTCATGCATAATACCTGGATTCCTTCCTTCGCTATGAAAAGGGCGGACTATGGGTTTAGGAAATTTTGTTCCTTCCAAAGCTTTGGCAGCAGCTGTGTGTTGGGCTTTTTTAATACTAGTTCCTTCAGCTTCCCAGCGCTGATCTCCAAGTGTTAGCTGTACTGTAAACACCTACAAATGAAAATTGTGAGCTCTCAATTCATGAAACCTGCTGTTAGTTGTAATGTCATTTGGACCTTGAACATATTTTATGTCATGGTTTAAAAAGCCTGGTCATTATATTGGTAATTTTTCTCATCACCACCTTTTTTTGGTTTTTACAAACACAAAAAGATTATATATGTGTGTGTGTGTGTGTGTGTGTGTGTGTGTGTGTGTATATATATATATTAGCATTCCATGAAAAAACCCATGCTTTAAAAGATGGGGGTACATACAGACATTGTAAATTATTTTCTTATATATTAAAATATTAGACACATTATTTGGAAATCATCCAAATAGATATTGTCTTCCAGTTACTTCTCATGGAAGAAATTTAGCAAACTTGATTTAGAACATTACAGCAACTCACATAAAATTAAGGTATTTGTTTTGATGTTGTAATGTGTTTGTAGACTCCTGCCTGAAAACACAACCCCAATAGGACAAAACTTGAATAAATTTGGGAATGTCAGCCAGGATCTAAAATGCTGCCTTTCACTTTCCTAAAATTCAGATGCTGCCTCCACTTTCTCAAAGAAAATCAGATCCACAGCAAGCAGAGATAAAAAATGTTCCCGAATTCAATTTTAATGAGGCATCCAAAACAGTTAATTTCATTCTCAACAAATAACCTCTTTCTTAAGTATAAAGGTAACTGCACTCCACTCTTAAAATTACGTTATGTTAATGCTATCAGTATTGAATTAATACTGTCAGAGCACTGTGATTCATTAATTTTGGTGTACAACTAAAGAATAACCTAGGAACCATAGTAAAATACACACCCCAAGAGATTTCCAATTAATAACATGAGGGACAACTGAATATGTCTAATTTTAACGAGTTCCAAAGTGATCATGATGCACTCCAAAGTGAGACTCACTAATTTGGAGCTTTATTCTCCTGATTTTATCACTGAATATAACTTTATTTCATTTAAAATAATCTATATGAGAAATGTTGCTGTCAGTATGTCTAGGTCATTTCAGTATGGTGCATAATGGGATGGGGGTGACTTGCCTTCATAGCTGATTTTTCTTTTTCTTTTTCTTTTTAAATATATTTTATTGATTTTTTACAGAGAGGAGAAAGGGATAGAGAGCCAGAAACGTCAATGAGAGAAAAACATCGACCAGCTGCCTCTTGCACGCCCCCTACCGGGAATGTGCCCACAACCAATGTACATGACCTTGACCGGAATCGAACCTGGGACCTTTCAGTCCGCAGACCGACGCTCTACCACTGAGCCAAACCGATTTTTCTTATTAGGTCTTAATTTTAGGATTCCCTCAGTGCACAGCTTCCACTAACGGGGAAAAATGAGACTCCTTCATCCCCTGGACAGATGGGGCTTCCTAGATTTATGCTGCATTTCACAAGGTTAGTTATTTAAGCACCAATAGCATGCACACAAACCCCTGGCTGGCCTGTGAAGTCTGAGCAGAAGCCTGCAATGCTGTGCAAGCCCTGGGTCATGAGCGTGATTCTTTCATAGAAAGGCACTGAAGGGGAAATGCTAAAAAAACAAAATTAAGAGTTAATTTCATTAACAGTTTTGCCTTTCACCAGAACCTTACTCATCCAGTGCTATTGTCACTCTGTTGCCTTCCATGTGGAGGGGTGATAGCGAGTCAGAACCTTAGTTTTTATAAAATTAAGTATACACCAGACCTGTGACTTTTTAAACAGTATAACAGTCAGCCAGGAGGGAATAACTCTTCCTCTTTGACTGAGTTGTAAGTTTTTTTTTAAAATGCAGTTATAGATGAACCACACAACCAAATTACTTAGAGTATCAAAGTTCAAGTAAGAAAGTACATATTTAAAAAATATCAAAATAGTTAAGCCGAAACCGGTGTGGCTCAGGGGATAGAGTGTCGGCCTGCGGACTGAAGGGTCCCAGGTTTGATTCCGGTCAAGGGCATGTACCTTGGCTGCGGGCACATCCCCAGTTGGGGGTGTGCAAGAGGTAGCTGATTGATGATTCTCTCTTATCAATGTTTCTAACTCTCTATCCCTCTCTCTTTCTCTCTGTAAAAAATCAATAAAATATTTTTTAAGTAGTTAATAAAGGGAATCTCAAAGTTCTGCAAAAAAAAAAAATTCAGTAGAAGAAACAGAGCAGTTATAGAAAATGACTAATTGCCTGCTGAAAATAAAGTAACTTCAAAATATGCTTTAGAATAATGTTAAAACTAGCTTCATGTGAGTGGAAAATCTGTTTTTCTTAAATGCATAATTGTTTAATAATAACAGTTACCATTTCTCAAGCATTTACTAAGTGCCAGGCATTGTGCTCCATACTTTATCATATTCTCTCATTTAGTTTTTACAATAGACCTATTTAAATAGTATTATTATTCCCATTTTACAGATGAGGAAACTGAGGTTCAAAAAAAGTAGTACCAGTAACTTGCTCAAGTTCACAAAACTAGTAAGAAGCTAGGATTCAAACCCAATTCTGTCTGACTCCAAAGGCCATTTACCTAACCTATGCTATGGTTCCTAATTATGATAGTGGTTGGTGTTACTTTTAGTCAAATGAAAAGAAAACTTGTTATTATTTAAGGCTCCAGGTTTGCATGTCAACAAAAATGAGACATAAGACAATTCATTAAAACTAGGATCAGAAACAGGAGGATCAATTCCTTATCTCTCATACTATAACTTCTCAAACTATATCTTCTCATACTACACTGGCAACAGATAAAACTAGATATGCAAACATTTAAGTTCCAATATCTGCATTAGCAAGAATATTAAACAAGCTTAAAAAACTGAATTCCTGAACAAATAGTAAACATTTACATTACAGTCATTTTTCATTCTCTAAGGTAAGGGGAACGACAAGGATAACTGACATCAGAGACAATGCAAAAATACTCACTTTGAGACCGATTCCTACCTCTCATCTTTAAACTTTTTACCTAATGGCTAGTAAATGGCAAAACTGATTTTCAGTTCACCCCTCTCCCGCCCAGTCAAGGTACTCTTGTAAACAAGCAGGAAAGAAGCCAGAGGTAGGCCATAACCAGGATGGCCGAGAGCCTGGAAAACTCACAGGAAATCATTTGCAGGTGGTTGAGAATACACTAATTGGAGCTTTAAAAGCAAAATGTCCTAAACAGAAGTATATATTTTATTTGACCCATTCTACAAGGATGAAAAAAGAATCAACTTGCCAAAATCTATATCTTTTCAATCTCTTTAAGACAACCACAGTAGTTTGAAAATACGTATTTTGAATCACAGCACCACTTGCAACAGTATAAAAAAAGAGAGAAAACATTCCTGGTGGGTTATAAATGCACAAGCAGTATGAACAATATTTACCTTACAGTGAGCTGGACCTTGCTCACGCAAAAGCTTATACTCAGGCTGAATCTTGTTGAAACGGGCTAACTCATTCACAAGACACATTGGGGTTTTCTCTTTGGGGTGTGCCATGCTAGAAGGAACTGAAAAATAACGTAAGAGCATTGAAGTCAAGTACATAGACTGCTGCTCTCCTATGGATATGAAAAAGAGGGAAAACAAACTAAAGGTCTGAGGATTTAGAGTGGCAGTAATGCAAAACTGCAAACCACAATGAGGGCATGTGCCTGAAGACAGCTGGGAACTTTTCTGAACCAGTTGAGTCCAGCTCACCTGGGAGAGAGTGTCTTCAAAAGAAAGAGAGTAAGAAGTCAGGGGAATAACTAAACCATGGCAGACAAGCAAGATCTGATATCAGATGAAGCACTGCTATTACAACTAACCAAGAGAGTAACAAGGAGGTCTTTGAGCAGACATATACTGGTTACGGCAACAGCTGTCAGCTATATTCTAGTCGTTATTTCACAACACGCAACATGCCAACACCATTTCTCAAACAATAACTGTCATTTTCCACACACTTAACTTCTCATTCCAGGGTGTCCCCTACTCTGATCTCCAGAGGCTGCCATCCTCAGACCTTAGCTATTTTTAAAAATTATTCTAAGTTAAATAAAATGGCTTCAGTGGGCAGGAGTTTTACAAAGTTAATAGAATGTAAATATAAGACACATTAGAAGAAAAAGCAATACATCACAGAGAACTGAAATAGTTGGTGCCATTGCCTTTTAAGCTGGATTCAAATGGCAAATGTCGGTAAAACTGAATCTCTAGGATTATGAAAAGTCAAGAATGCTATCTGGTGAGCCAAACAACATCCAGAGCCATGCAGCTCAGAGTGGGACAAGCTAACACACTAAGAATAAATTTACAAAGGAAATAAACAATGAAATGCAAAGGAAATTATCAGGTGTAAGGGATAGAAAGGCACTTGTTACAAGGTGACTCTGCATGGAGACAACCATGCTCACATTCGTTTAATTGGTTTTGCCCCTTTAGGCAGAGGGAGAATATTGTTTTTAGTTGTTTTTTATTCAGGTGTTTCAAGTCTTTTCTAATCAATGAGCACATTTTTAGTTTCCTAATAATCAAATGTCAGTGCCTCTAAACTTATTTCCTTTTTATAAATCTCTACTTCTTCGTTCAATCTCTTAATTGATCCTCACTATGATTCCTAAACTACTTCTGGAATCTCAAACTTATTCAAAATAAAAATTAACAAATGCCAATGCACTCTTCTGCTTGCCAGTAAAGCTGAGTGCCCCCTTGCTTGGAATAAATTTTTAGAGACATTCAAAAAGGGGGCTTACAAGAATTCTTTATTAGTTCTGGGAAATAATTTTAAAAGCAGGATTTTCCCATATAACAATGACTCCAAAGTGGAACTTACTGTTCAATTCTCTCTGCCAGCCACCACTTTATAACAGACTTGACATTATAACTGTTTTCAATTCTCTTCCTTTACACTTTGAAATGGTCTGTCAACTAAGGCCTCCATTCAATCCAATGCACAACCAAGTGTTTTATATCTGGGATTAAAAAAAAAGCTTGGGCAGTAATATTTTCTTCTGCTTCTTGAAGGTAAAGATGAAAGCTCCCTAGCTCTGCAATCTACTTAAATAAAAAAATTAAAAAAACAGGCTGAGAACACATTTGAAACAGAAGACACTTGGATTCATATGCTTGCTTACCTGCAGCTGCAATGATGGGTGTAATAGATGCAGAGGGTAAAGCAGAGTTTTGAATAGGTCTACCTGCATTTTCAGAGGGCAGAGAGCTAGTAGTAGAAGGAATACTCATCAAAGGCTGTGAGAGAAGAGACTGGTTCTTGTTCAGTATTTGGCTCCCTGAGAGAGCAGCAGATGGGTTCTGAACTTGCACTTGAACTTGAGACATGGTCACTTTCAACAAAAGTGAACAACTGCAGGTAAACAGCTTTCAGTGCAGGTTAATTCAGTGCTATGAAGTCTAAAGTTCTACCTAAAAGTTGTAAGGGAAAGAAAATAAAAAGGTAAATTATAGAGGAGATATGTAATTGTCAATATTCAGTCAAAACTGGTGTCACCTTCTCAAGCATGAAAATAGCCCAATTTAGCATGTAGCTATGACCATGTATTAGAACTGTTTCTCCTTGGTATACAAGAAGGTTCCTGTTTTTTTTTACTTTCTCAGTGTTTTTAAATTACTTACAATACCCTTATGCTCTGCATGTTCATTTTATGAAGAAAATCAATAGGGTATCATAATATTTATTGGTGACTATTAAAAATTATAAATTGCAGCTAATATTAAAAAATATAAAAATGGAGAGGTTTTTCCATACTGTATAGGATATGGTAAAAGTTTCTGGCCTCAAAATTCTAGGAAGCTGAAAGCACTCTGGGTTGTAACACCATTAATAGGTGAATGTAAATACTGCTTCCATTTAAGGGCAATGTGCTCAGATCGACACCTTTAGAGCTTTCCTTTAAGCTGACTGAAGAAAGAGAAAAATTTCTCTTCTGCTGTTTTTGTTTTTTTGTGTGTGTGTGTTTTTTTTTTAATGATGATAAAAGATCTATTTGTTTTCCTAAGAGTTTTGTTTTGAGATGGTCTCATTTACATACCCCAAAGAAAACTACTGCACTCACATCAATGCTTGATCCTGAGAAATCTGAATAGCAGAGAACTTTCTATTGATTTGTACAACTAAAATAAAAAATAGAGAAGATGAAGAAGAGAGGAACAGATTTCAGACTGGCAATTTTACTGGTGTGACTGGTAAAGCCTCCGATGGAAGCTCCAAAGGCATTCTTTCTAAATACACTGATTTCTTCACAAGTCCAAAATAAGGACAGTTCTATCATTTTCATGATCATCATGCAAAAAGCTGAAAATACTGAAGGCAAATGTACTCAAAAAATAACCAGTAGCAACAAAGAACAGAAAGCAGAAACAAGCAAATGAGTTTTATTGCAGAGTAATTGTTCATCACTTTAATTTTTTCAAAAGTCTCAAAAATGATTTTTAAAGAAAGCTAGACCTTTAGAAAGAGATGAATGACCAGAACAATTAAGTTACTTGAGGATTCCTGACATATTCTCCCTTGCTGAAAGCAAAAAGGACTACAAACCTAAACCAAACCAAATCCAAAAACCTCAACTACAATATGACTTTGGATCACAGAGGCATAAACAGTACCCTATTCAACAAAATTGCCCAATATTGCAGTTGTTTCTTTTGTTGACTTTTGGAATCAGAACCAAATAGCAGTTCCACTGAGGATCATAATGATTTTAGCAGACAAGCTGCCAGTATCAAGAAACAAGTCCAGAACCATTGTTTCATTGTTTTTATTTCCTTCAGCTGCCAAAATATATTTTTCTCAATCTTCCTCCTCCTTCTCTTATTCACCTTCTTCCTCTCCCTCTCCTTCTAGAATCTAAACTGTCTAGAGGACATTTTTCTACAAAAAAAAAAAAAAAAAAAGACACTTATAGTATACTCGCAACACTTTAGGACACCAACTCCAGACCAAAGGTAGCCAAAGGGCCGTAGCTGGTTTGGCTCAGTGGATAGTGTGTCAGCCTGCAGACTGAAGGGTTCTGGGTTCAATTCCAATCAAGGGCACGTGCCCAGTAGGGTGCATGCAGAAGGCACCTGACCAAGTCTCTCTTATCATTGACTAGAACCCCAGTGCATGGATTCGTGTACCAGTGGGGTCCCTCAGCCTGGCCTGTGCCCTCTCACAATACGGGACCCCTGGGGGGATGTAGAAATACACAAAGTGGCAGGTGGCCAGGGAGGAGCCCAAGTCCCACCTGGGCACCACTCCTGCTCATCCTGGCCCCACTGTGACTGCCACACACTGCCTGGAGGTGAGGTGGAAAAGACTCACACCACTGCAGCTGTGCTGGCCAGCGCGAGCCTGGCTTCTGGAGCCCGTAGGTCAGCTAAGCGGCTCTCCAGCTGTGGAAGTGCACTCACCACCAGGGGGCAGCTCCTGCATTGAGCATCTGCCCCCTGGTATTCAGTGCACTTCAGTGCTTAGGGTTTTATATATATATATATATAAATGTTTCTACTTCTCTCTCCCTCTCTCTTCCTCTCTGAAATAAAAAAATATATATATTTTAAAAGTAGCCAAAAGCAAGTGTTTGCTTCAGAGTCTACCCATAACCCAGAAGGAGCAATCCAACTTTGCTCTCAGTAACTCCTGAGAGTCTGAGACTTGAATGAATGACCTAAATTTAGAAAGGGAGGGGCCCAAAGGGATCTATTTTGGCGAATGCTATCTCCATCAGGCCCACTGCCAGCATTTCCATCACAGACAAAAATACACAGATTTTCTAGAAGTTGAGAAAGGAAACAAACAAGCTTTTTAAGTAAGACTGTCCTTAAATGTTAACCTCAAGTTCACCTGAAGTTTTGTCTTTATAACAACTGGTAGAAAACAAGTAGTTCGAAACATAATAATAATAAAAAAAATTACTTTCCTAATAAGGCTGTGTACTTTACAAATTTTTAACTTCCAACACTAAAATCCAACAAACATTATTCATTTGCCAATAAATTTTTAGTCATTTGCTAATTTAACACTTCTATGTGTCTTCAGGCCTGACAAAGAATCTAAAGCAGTGGTTCTGAAGAGGGAGTAAGTGTGTTCCCCAAAGACATGTGACAGTGTCTGGAGACATTATTTGGATGTAACAACTGGGGGACCACGGGATCTAGTGGGTAGAGGGTCAAGGATGTTGTTTCAAGTATACATATACTAATCCACAAAATAAAATCTTACACTATTTAATAAAAAATTATATATTTTCTAATACAGAAAAAGAAAATCCCCTTTTTACCTCAAAGGCTCTAAAAAACAGATGCTAATATTTTACCCAAACAAATGCTCTTTTCCTAAAGAGAAGCTTGGCAGCTATCATAGTTATGAGGAAAAATATATTGTTTATAAATTCAAAGAATAAATAAGGCTTTTGACTACTGCTGTTTATATAGTTCACAGCAGCCTTCAGGGGAATCATGGAATTTTGGATATGCTACATCTGTATAAATTTAGAAAATCTGGTGCTCTGTCCTGAAGATCAAGTCCTTAACCGAAAACTTGTTTTTTCTTTTTAACCTATCTTTAAGGATTGTTTTCCACCATATAGATTAGGGACTCAAGAGAAATACTTTGTTGGAGTTTTCTTATAGACCATTGGTATTTTACACACAGTAAAATTAGATTGAAAAGTTTGAAACACAAAGTCTCTTCAGTTTTTCCCAGGGCAGAAAACACCTTTGACTGTTAAGCCTGTGTTATGCTATTTCCCCTGCCTCCCGGCTACAGCACAGATAAGGGTCTTGGTCTTTTCCTATATGAAGAGTTTTAGACACCAACTCAGGAAAACACGTTTATTTTATTCTCAAATCCAGAATTTACAAAGCATATATCAACACTATACCACAAAGAGGGGTGCTATAACAGAATTATAGGTACGTCTTTTGAAAAGACTCCTAATTCCAAACGTTCCCTCCTTGGCCCCGTCCCCTGCTCAACCCCTCCTGGGTCCTAAATTTGGCTTGGTGATACAAAAATCTTTTCATTAAAAAAAAAAAAAAAAAAAGTTTCACCTTGGCTGGCAGCTTCCATTTTACAAGTGCCAAGTACTTTTTAATGGGTTGTGGGAAGAGGAACAAGAGCACATTAAACATAACAATAGCATTTTTAAAATAATACATGATGTGCTAAAGTGATCAGGCACAAAAACGTATATTCTTCACTAAGCAGTGAACCTACCAAGACTAGGTCATACTGAGTACAATGTGAATGATTTAATATACAAGGCAGACCCTTCTAGAAACAGTTTACAGAACTATATACAATAATGGTTAGTCTTATTCACTCTCAATTAACGTTGTTAAATCATTGTGGTATGACATAACTGCTTTAACAAATATAGAAAAACATCGTTTTTAATATCTAATTTTTAACTGGATTACCTTATAATTTATAAAGAAGTATCTGTACTTCTGTGTAATCAACATATCATTGGCCATTATAAGTAATGTCTCCAAACAAGATGTTTAAAAAGAAAAAAAGAAAGAAGTCATCCTAATTCTAGACAAGATTTTAAGATAGCCACAAACATTTCACTAAATATCTAACCATTGAACTTCTTGAGTAGTATGGAAACACAATTCCTTGCCGTAATAAGGCACTTGCATTATCAATAGCAACTTTAGGATATATTTATTCAATATTCAACAGAAATTTATTAAGCATCTACTACATGTGAACCCATATATATCAGACTGTACATTTTCCAGTGATAGAATCAATTTGTTAAAGTTTCCTCAAAGACCCTAACAAGGCCTTGCCATACCAGCAGACAGCAGCTGTGTGTCGCTGAAGGATGCCCAGGACCAAACCAGAAACGGACAGACCTGCATCACCACCATTTGTCCACCAACCAGATCTGAAATATCATGGCTGACATGTACACATAAGGAACTGTTTGACATTGAAATTGGGACTCAAAAAACTGTTGGCCCAGAAAGGAACTCACTACAAACTGATTCATTTGCCTCTCAGCATAACCAAAATGACTTGTCTCAGTTTCGGTTCTTATAAGGGTATTTCTTGGGTCACATGATTTCACACATCTAGAGGAAATAACGAACAACATAAACTGACGAACAAAAACAGACCCAGAGAAAGAGAAGCAGTGATCAGACACTCAAACCTTAGAGGGGAAGTAGGGGAGAGAGGGGGTAAGGGGAAGAGATCAACCAAAGGACTTGTGTGCATGCATATAAACCTAACCAGTGGTCATGGACAACATGGGGGTAGGGGCATATGTGGGGAGGGGTTTGGGATGAGAATGGGGGGATGAGGACAATTATGTGATACCATAATCAATAAATGAATAAAAAAATATAAATTTTTTAAAAATAAATAAATAATAAAGTTTTCCTCAACAATACAGAAGAGATCTTTTTTAAAAAAAATATATTTTATTGATTTTTTACAGAGAGGAGGAGAGAGGGATAGCGAGCTAGAAACGTCGATGAGAGAGAAACATCGACCAGCTGCTCCTTGCACACCCCGCACTGGGGATGTGCCCGCAACTAATGTACATGCCCTTGACCGGAATCGAACCCGGGACCCTTCAGTCCGCAGACCGACGCTCTACCACTGAGCCAAACCGGTTTCGGCAAAAGAGATCTTTTTAAAAAAAATATGTTTTTATTGATTTCAGAGAGGAAGGGAGAGGGAGAAAAAGATAGAAACATCAATAATGAGAGAGAGCCGAAACCGGTTTGGCTTAGTGGATAGAGCGTCGGCCTGCGGACTGAAGGGTCCCGGGTTCAATTCAGGTCAAGGGCATGTACCTTGGTTGCGGGCACTTCCCCGGTGGGGGGTGTGCAGGAGGCAGCTGATCGATGTCTCTCTCTCATTGATGTTTGACTCTCTATCCCTCTCTCTTCCTCTCTGTAAAATATCAATGAAATATATTAATTAAAAAATAATAATAATAAGAGAATCATTTGAGAAGAGATCTTTAAGTAACCAACTGTAAATCTATTCACCTGTTCTCTTTAACTTAACATGGAAAAGTTAAGGTAGAAACCACTTTTCCTAAAATAATCTTGAAATATGTCTAAAATATCTTTATTTCCAAGATACTTTTCTGATACATCTTTCTAGCTGTAATGTGCTTGTATGTTTTCTGCAAGTAAATTTACTCCCAACTTTACCCCCCAACAGCACCTGCCATTCCCTGTCCCTGGAAAAGAACAATTCATTGACTCCAATAATTAATCGAATATCTATAGACAAGGCACCCACAAGTATAGAAACGTGACAATCACTATCATCATAAAAAATCATTTCCAAAATCAAGCAAATAATGTCCAATAGCAAGCCCTTATGTCAAATTACAATACTAAAAGGTTCTTTAAAAGAAATATGACCAGCCAAAACCGGTTTGGCACAGTGGATAGAGCATAGGCCTGCGGACTGAAAGGTCCCAGGTTCGATTCCAGTCAAGGGCACTTACCTGAGTTGTGGGCACATCCCCAGTAGGAGGTATGCAAGAGGCAACTGATCGATGATTCTCTCTCATCGATGTTTCTAACTCTATCCCTCTCCTTTCCTCTCTGTAAAAAATCAATAAAATATATATATTAAAAATAAATAAATAAAAATAAAATGTCAAAAATTCTTCTCAGCCTTTTAAAAAAATAAAAATAAAAATAAAAAAAGAAATAAAAGGAATATGACCAAACTACTTGAGAGAGGAAAATAAAATAAAGACCATTATGTACTTTGTACTCAAGCGAAAGACACAGGAAAAGTAATCCTGATGAGACACAATCACCTACACGACAATAAAATCAGCCAAAAATAATGCCTGGAAATAATCCAGGCTGTTCAAAACCTTTGCATTCAATACAAGTGACTGAATGTGGTCCCTGTCTTACAGTTGGCCCAATGTCAACTGGGCAAGGGAGGATTTTCTTTCCACACAAATGTAACCATTGGGTGGTCCATTTAAAGAAACTCTTCCTAAGAGAGAATTCATTATTAAATGTTCATCCTAGAAAAACCATCACACCATGCTGTGTATTAAAGAAAAAAAATTACCTCTGCAACCTAATAAGCTGCAAATCTTAGTCTCTTTTTTAGCTCTAAAACCTTATCAAGCTCCCCTCTCTTCCCTAGATAAATTCTTAAACTACATTCAAACACATTATTGTTATAAACTGGAAGTCTTTTTAAAATCCAAACTTATAAAAACATAGAAAATTGTTTTAAACCAACCAAAATAAATATCTATAATATTCTAGAGATTTTTTTTTTTAATATTTTATTGGTTTTTTTTTTACAGAGAGGAAGAGAGAGGGATAGAGAGTTAGAAATATCGATGATAGAGAAACATTGATCAGCTGCCTCTTGCACACCCCCTACTGGGGATGTGCCCACAACCAAGGTACATGCACTTGACTGGAATCGAACCTGGGACCTTTCAGTCCGCAGGCCGATTCTCTATCCACTGAACCAAACCGGTTTTGGCTTTAAATATATTTTATTGATTTTTTTACAGAGAGGAAGGGAGACAGACAGTTAGAAACATCGATGAGAGAGAAATATCAATCAGCTGCCTCCTGCACCCACCCACCCCCACTAAGGATGTGCCCACAACCAAGGTACATTCCCTTGACAAGAATCGAACCTGGGACCCTTCAGTCCACAGCCTGACACTTTATCCATTGAGCCAAACCGGTTTTGGCTATGCTAGAGATTTTTAAGAAGTACCTTTTGACATATCCTCCTATATAATAGAGAGGTAATATGCAATTGACCATATCATGCTTTTGCACAAGATGGCCACGCCCCTGTGGTCATAAGATGGCCATGCCCATGTTGTCACAAGATGGCTGCCAGGGGAGGGAAGTTAGGGGTGACCAGGCCAGTAGGGAAGGGCAGTTGGGGGCGACCAGGCCGGCAGGGGAGGCAGTTGGGGGCGATCGGGCAGGCAAGAGAGCAGTTAGGTGTCGATCAGGTTGGCAGGGGAATGGTTAGGGGGTGATCAGGCTGGCAGGCAGAAGTGGTTAATCAGGCATGCAGAAGCAGTTAGGACAGTGGTCGGCAAACTCGTTAGTCAACAGAGCCAAATATCAACAGTACAATGTTTGAAATTTCCTTTCAGAGCTAAATTTTTTAAACTTAACTTCTTCTACAGCCACTTCTTCAAAATAGACTCGCCCAAGCCATGGTATTTTGTGGAAGAGCCACACTCAAAGGGCCAAAGAGGCACAAGTGGCTCATGAGCCGCTATTTGCCAACTACAGGGTTAGGGGCAATCAGGCAGGCAGGCAAGTGATTGGGAGCCAGCAGTCCCGGATTGTGAGAGGGATGTGTGGCTGCCAGTTTAAGCCCTATTCCTGTGGGGTCCCAGATTGGAGAGGGTGCAGGCTGGGCTGAGGGACACACACACACCCAGTAAATGAATTTCATGCACTGGGCCTCTAGTTCTCAAATAAGGGGCTTGGTTCAACAAAATAGTTAACTAGCTTTTCCTTTTAGAAAAGAAAAATTGTAGTCTATAACCATGTGCCATCTACCCAGAAACAAACATGACTGCATTTACCATCATCTTCATGCAAAACAGATCAGTGCCAAGACCCAGTTTTTAAGAAACCAGCCTTCAGTTTTAAATTAAATCAGACTAAGTTGTGGCTTTCAGGTTTACTCCCAATTCAGATAGCAATTAAGCATCCAACTTTTGGCAAGCCACTGCCCAGGGCCTCAGTTTCCCAGATCACTTTGTAACTGAATATTTGACAAAGCCTCAGTCCTAGCAATCCGAGAGCTAAAACCTTGAAGGAGGTGTAATAAGTTATTCAGTTCTTTTTTTTTTTTTGGGGGGGGGAAGGTGGGGGGATGAGGGGGAAAGGCATTATACAAAGTCAGTGTGATAAGTGTAAATCCATTCACTGAATTTTGTATAATTTCTCTAATTTCCTGATGCTTCAATTTCCTCATTCCAAAGAATGTTGGATTAATTTGTCCACTACTGCCACCTCAGAGATATATGATGATGTGCTTTCAATTCTTAGTAAGTGCTAAAAAACACAAAGCAGTGTATTTTGCACATAAAAGACTGTAAATTCCTAGGAGCACTCTTATAAAACGTTTTTGGTCTAAATCAGTGTTTCCCAAACTTTTATTTTTTTTATTTTTTTTATTTTTTACAGAGAGGAAGGGAGAGAGATGGAGAGCTAGAAACGTCGATGAGAGAGAAACATCGACCAGCTGTCTCTTGCACACCCTCTACTGGGGATGTGCCCACAACCAAAGTACATGCCCTTGACCGGAATCGAACCTGGGATCTTTCAGTCCGCAGACCGACGCTGTACCGCTGAGCCAAACTGGTTTTGGCTCCCAAACTTTTGACATGTGTACCCCTTCTATAATTTTCGTAACGCTGAGTACCCCTTGTACTTATGAGAACATAGAATTAGGCGCAGCTAAGCATGGTGCAATGCATATCCCCACCAAACTCTTCCCGTACCCCTGGGGATGCGTACCACACTTTGGGAAACACAGGAATGATCACAGCCAGTGGTAAACAGAATTTGAATCCTAACCCTAACTCATGATAGAAAACAAAGCTGAATTAGTTCCACAGGTTTGAAAAACAAGTATAACATAATCAATCTGAGAAATCAAAGACAAACTACAAAAGTTTCTATAAACAAGACACTTATTTGACGAATAACGTTAATGTCTTCAGTATTCAGTTTTTACATCTCCACATTTAAAGTATAAGGCAATGTCAGCTAGCAGGTTTTACATCTTGCCAATTTCCCCTGCATTTAATTACTTTCTAATAAAATCTCAAGAGTAAAAAGAAATTCAAACTATATACATAAAATCTCTCTACTTCCCTAATATTATAGCCAGAAGTAAATGTCAATCTCCACATTAGTCAATGAAAAATTTAAAAAATATTATGAATTATATACAGGCTTGAAATTATAGAGCCAAATTATGTATACCTTAAAAAGAGAGGTGTTCCAGGAACAATGTTGTTGTGGTTTATGTCTGAGAGATTATGTGGTTAGAAAATCCCTGAAAAATAAGAAATAATAATTTACAGAGGGTATATTTTCCTGAAAATGAATATATATATATATATATATATATATATATATATATATATATATATTGTTAAAGTTTTGGGGAAATCTAAAATTTCCAAGTAGGGAAGTTTCCAAAAACATGATGTCCTGGATTGGCTCACTCTAGAGTCTTCAAAAGGCATGACTCCAACAACATGAACATAGGAGTCAGTAGAAATTTCCTTTTCGGTCTCAATTACTTCCTGATAAGAGAGCTGTGAATGCCTAAGATTTACTTTCCAAAGAAGGAACTGGACATCATATATTGCCTGATCATACAAGCCTGATTTTTAAACTGCTTAACTACTAGTATTTTACCCTGTTTCCCCGAAAATAAGACAGTGTCTCATATTAATTTTTGCTCCCAAAGATGCTGTAGGTCTTATTTTCAGGGGATGTCTTATTTTTCCATGAAGAAGAATACGGTACACATTTATTGTTAAATGAAAATAAAGGAAATTTATTACCTGTATATGGTACGGCAGTACGGTAGTTATCAACACAAACCAGACAAACTGTGAATCCTACAGTTTCAAGAATTTACTCATTTAGCCGAAACCAGTTTGGCTCAGTGGTAGAGCGTCGGTCTGCGGACTGAAAGGTCCCAGGTTCGATTCTGATCAGGGGCATGCACCTTGGTTGCGGGCACATCTCCAGTAGGGGTTGTGAAAGAGGCAGCTGGTCAATGTTTCTCTCTCATCGACGTTTCTAACTATCTCTCTCCCTTCCTCTCTGTAAAAAATCAATAAAATATATTTTTTAAAAAAAAGAATTTACTCATTTATTCAATGACAATCATGTCATCATCTTCTGGAACATCATCATAACAATCCAATTCCTGAATTTCCTGGTGAATTTCTTGTGACTCCATTTCTTTCAGAATCAGTGGACCAAATCTCTCAAGTTTAGCCTAGGGGGGGGCCTTATTTTTGGGGATGCCTTATATTTCACTCAGAAGGAAACCTGTAAGTAGGTCTTATTTTCGGAGGATGTCTTATTTTCGGGGAAACACAGTATTTATAAACTAGAGGCCCGCTGTACAAAATTCATGCACAGGGGTATCTGTCCCTCAGCCCAGCCTGCACCTTCTCCAATCTGGGACCCCTCGAGGGATGTCCTACTGCCCATTTAGGCCCAATCCTGGTAGGATACCAGGACCTAAACGGGCAGTCAGACATCCCTCTCACAATCTAGGACTGCTGGCTCCCAACTGCTCACCTGCCTGCCTTCCTGATTGCCCCTAACTGCCCTCCCTTGCAGGTCTGCTCACCCTTAACTGCCCTCCCCTGCAGGCCTGCTCACCCCTAACTGCCCTCCCCTGCAGGCTTGGTTCCTTTCCCCCCCCACAACTGCTCTCCCTTGCAGACCTGGTCCCTTCCAACTGACCTCCCCTGCTAGCCTGATCACTCACAACTGCCCTCCTCTGCTGGCCATCTTGTGTCAACATGGGGACATCCATCTTTGACCACACAGGGGCAGTCATCTTGTGTGTTGGAGTGATGATCAATTTGCATATTACTCTTTTATTAGGTAGGATAAAGGCCTGGTGCACAGGTGGGGGCCAGCTGGTTTGCCCTGAAAGGTGTCCTAGATCAGGGTGTCCTTGGGGAATGGGGTGGCCTGGGCGAGGGGTGTGTAGTGGTTTGCAGGCCAGCCATGCCCCCCAGTGACCCAAGTGGAGGCCCTGGTATCTGGGGTTTATTTATCTTCTATAATTGAAACTTTATAGCCTTGAGCAGAGGCCTGGGCTGGCCAGGATGTGCAGGAAGCTTGGCTTCCTCCATTGCCAGTGAAACCCAACCCCCCAGCTTGCTCCATGGCTGAAGCCATCTTGCTTTGGTTAATTTGCATACTCGCTCCTGATTGGTTGGTGGGCATGGCTTGTGAGTGTAGCAGAGGCATGGTCTATTTGCATATTGCTCTTTTATTAGCTAGTATGCCCTTACCATGTGCTTAGTGTGCAAACACAATTTAGATAGGAAATTTTACAAATTGTTAAATTGCAAAATACGATAAAGCACATTATCTCTAGTAAATCCAAATCAAAATCCTTCTTTAGGATTTTAAGTGACATAAGAGTTTAATTCTCAAACTCTCAGGTCTGCTTTATCTAGAGTTGTCCCACCTTTTAACACGTTAAGCACCCAGTCACCCATGACTAACACTATACTTTCTGTCCTGAAAGACAAAACAGGCTGGGTGCTTAATGTGTTAAATTACAGGAGTCAGTAGCAAATAGAATTTCTCATGTTGAGATGCTTTTTTGCACTTTCAGAACATAATTTTGCTCATTTCAATTTCTCACTACTACTATGACTTAATAAATAATAAAAAATAGCTGTTTACTGTCCAAATGATTTTAGAAATAAAACCTAGTGCTCTTGCCGAAACCAGTTTGGCTCAGTGGATAGAACATCAACCTACGTACTGAAAGGTCCCAGGTTCGATTCCAGTCAAGGGCATGTACCTTGGTTGCGGGCAGATCCCCAGTAGGGGTTGTGCAAGAGGCAGCTGATCAATATTTTCTCTCTCATCGATGTTTCTAACTCTCTATCCCTCTCTCTTCCTTTCTGAAAAAAAATCAATAAAATATATTTTTTAAAAAACACAAAAATCCTAGTGCTCTTGATTAGCTCTACAATATTTTAACAACTCAAGCTCTTCTTTTTGTAATATACTATAACTAGTGACCCAGTACATGAAATTCATGCACATTAAAAGGGGATTAATTAGACCCAACCAGTTTGGCTCAATGGATAGAGCATCAGCCTGCAAACTCAAGGGTCCCAGGTTCGATTTCGATCAAGGGCATGTACTTTGCTTGAAGGCACATCCCCTGTAGGAGGTGTGCAGGATGCAGCTGATCAATGTTTCTCTCTCATTAATGTTTCTAACTCTCTATCCTTCTCCCTTCCTCTCTGTAAAAAATCAATAAATATATTTTTAAAGGGGATTAATTAGAATAAATAATTTAATATTGCTATTTGCCCTTTCTCTACAATAGAATTGTCAAAGATGAAAGAAAATTGGTAAAATGTATATGAAAACCTTCCTCCTATCAGAGGCTGAGGCACACTACGGGACCCAAAGTCAAATCCCTCCCACCACATGCACCTCAAAATCACGTGAGACCCAGACCCGACCACCCCACCCCATTGAGCTAGATCCAGACCCAGCCAGTCCCACCCTTGTCAAACCCTGCCGGGCAGGGGGCATAGCCTCAGGTCCCCTGGCCTGGCGCCAGGACAGGGAGCGTGGCCTGAGGTCCCCCAGCCCAGACCGGGGCAGAGGGCATGCTTTGAAGTCTCCATCAAGCCCTGCCAGGTGGGGGACACAGCCTGAGATCCCCTGTCAAGCCCCTCTGGATGGGGGGCATGGCCTGAGGTGCCCTGTCAAGCCCCACTGGGTGGGGGTGTGGTCTGAGGTCCCCTGGCCTGGTGCTGGGGGAGGGAGGGCGTGGCCTGAAGTCCCCTGTCAAGCCCCACCTAGTGGGGGAGCATGGCCTGAGGTCCCCTAGCCTGGCACTGGGGTGGAGGGAGCAGCCTGAGGTCACCTAGCCCAGCACCAGAATGGGAAGCGCACCTTGAGGTACCCTGCCAAGCCCTGCCAGCAGGAGGCGTGGCCTGAGGTCCCCTAGCCTGATGCCAGGGCGGGGGGCGCAGCCTGATGCCCCCTGTCAAGCCCTGCCAGGTTGGAGGCTTGGCCTGAGGTCCTCTATCAAGCCCCACAGGGCGGGGAGGGGGTAGCCTCAGGTCCCTGGTGATTGCTCTTTAAGGCTCCTTATGGGAACTTGGCCTCAGTTGTGAGTGCAGCCAGCTTTGTGATGAAGTGATGGTCAATTAGCATATTCCCTCTTTATTACATAGGATAACAACTTTCCAATCTAGAACCATTTGTTCCATAATCTCACCCAATCAAGAACTAACATGAATGAAAAGTGGAAAAGGCTCAAATAGATGTCTAAGACTCACCTAATTGAGTCCATGCCTTTTACCAACAGGGCTCTCCTCCATTTAAACCCATCTATTCTGAACAATTATGGTAGATTTGGTTATCTAAGTTTCTAGCCCAAAACAGAAGTTAAATAATTAAGATTGGGGGGAAATCAGACATAATGAAAATAGTAAGAAACAACAGCCAACAACTCAAAGCAAAGTAAAAAGGAGGAAAGAAATGTAGCAGTCTGCAACCATTTGAATTTCACGCATCATTACACAACACAAGTGATGGCTGAGATTCAGATACACATTCATACTTCTGTAAGTAAACATTTCTTAAAATCCTCCAACCATTTTCAAATGATAATCCAAAACCATCATGTTTATTACCAATATATGCCAAACAGCACTTACTCCAAACAGCAGCAGAGAACAAAGACTGTTGGTTAAACTCAATTCCCTTTTGTCCACTCAAAAAAACATACCAGAATCCAAGCACATGAATTAAATTCATTGCTTTAGCCCTAGACAGTTTGGCTCAGTGGATAGTGTTGACCTATGGACTGAAGAGTCCCAGGTTCGATTCTGGTCAAGTGCACATGCCTGAGTTGTGGGCTCCACCCCAGTAGGGGACGTGCAGGAGGCAGCCAATCAATGATTCTCTCTTATCATTGATGTTTCTATGTTTCCCTCTCCCTTCCTCTCTGAAATCAATAAAAACATATTTCATTTTAAAAATTTCATTGCTTTATTCATTCAATAAATATTGAATACCTGCTATTTGTAGGCACTATTCTAGACACTGAAGAGAGAGGAGACAAATAAGATATAGTCTCTGTCTTCGTGGACTTCACATTTGTATAGAAATAACCTTGAACCCAACACAAATTTAAATAAATAATTCACAGTGGCATTTTAATTAGCAGTGATAAACCATTTATAATACACATCACATCATAACTAAAGACACAAGAGAACATAAAAAATCTCTTGGCTACAGCCGAGACCGGTT